TCAACCCCCCCCCCCCCGCCCCCCCTCCCACCTAAAAAAAAAATCATTTAGGCCTAATTCCTGTTTTAAGCACACCCAATTTTTATGTAAAGATTAATGACTCACATAAGTCATGAGTCCAGACTCATAAGACATAGAAATAAACCTATCTTTCTTACTAACCAACTTCTTCCAGACTTAACTTTAACATTTAAAAACACTCAAATATCAATTGTTAAACAGTATCTTAACTCAGTGAAGAAATTGTAAAAATTTCTTTAATTAGACAAAGTGAAACAAAATACAAGTAAGTTTGTAAGCAATTAGTTACTACTGACAGTTCATTCACTGTGTTAAAGGTTAGTCTAAATTGTTATTAAAATACAATATACGATCATTTGATCATTATCTTAGACGAAGAGTTCCCATTGAATTTCACGAGATTATCCAAAATTAAATTGATTTGAAAAAGTCACTAGGCCATTTTATAAACACAGAATTCGATGAGAATTTTAGAATCAACATTCAGCGTTATAACGAAGATTAGGAAAGAGCACTAATTCATCAGCATTTGTTTGACAATCGGAGGACTTTTAGATTAATTTTATACAAAAATCTTAGATATATGTATCGGGTGCGTTTTTATTTAAAACAGTAAACACGAATAGTTGCAATATACACTGCATGCAACCATGGTTTCAAAACGATACAAGAATTTAAGATTATACTTTTGCATTTGTTATTAAAGATCAAGTTTGACACAGTGTCATATGAAAATATCTAAACCAATGTCAAGTCTAAAATGTGTTTAAAAGATTATTGCCTATAACATGATAAAGCAGACATTTCAAACATCTTTCACGCCAGTTGGACTAATATTGACAGCCTTAAGGATATTCATATTAATCCACGCTAACCAATAAAATGTAATAATTCTGACACCAACAATGAATGTTCTACTTGCTATGTCCCTAGGCCAAAATTTCTCCTTCATGCCAAATAAAGGAGGATTAAGACTTGGTTGTAAAGTTTTTGGTGTTAACAGGTCAAATACTGACTCAGGTTTTCAAGTGGTTTTATCAAAATATCTTAAAATGATATCATAATGTGATAAAAATCTAGAATTAGTGTCTTTACTGAAAAAGAAATATTTAAAAATATATGTTAGAACTGACCAAAACCAAGCACTACTAAAGAAAACGATAATTAAACGATTTTCGTTATGATATAAATTTTCACAAATTTACGTATTTTGGCTATATGATATGATTTAATAGTGAAGGAACAACTTTAAAAATACGTTAACTACTTCCGGTCTCGTACACTTTCAATCAATTGTCATCTAACATCTCTTGAGTCTAAATTCAAGAGCCAACTAATTGATCAAAGATAATTAAAAGACGAAAATTAACACATTGAATCGATTTTTCGATTGAGTTGCCCGAGTTTCTTTACAAGAAGGTTTTTTGTTAGCCGATAGAATCCTGTGTGTTTATTGAAAATACACACAAAGCTTGTTTGATGTTACTTTTTGTACTTGAAGAACTTGATGAATTGATACACAACTGACAAAAAAGGCGAACAAAAATCAATGGCGATCATGCAATTAATTTAGAAAGATCTAAAGGACTTTTCTGGCAACAAGTTTAACCACACACGTTTGTATTGTAGCCTTGTTTGTCATGACGTAACGTGGCTAACGTCGCAAGATGGTGCTAGAGTACGTCGATTTGTTCGCAAAGTGGCCATAGATTTGTAAATTCGTACCCCCTCTTCAGAATATCAATTCAACTATTATTCTAGATTGAAATTATTTCTGGTCAATTAATGTACAAGGTTGTATTACATCATTTATATACTGGTGTGTCCATTCAATAATATGAAATTAAGTTTAAGATTATTTGCCCGGGGGTAAACTTTCAACAAATCTTCTGTTAAGAATGGGGATTGTGGTTACGTCGATGACAATAACAGTGACGAATCTGACATGTATGGCCACTTGAAAATTCAATTAACATTGTGCCATTGCTCTTAAACTGTTTGCCTTTATTGTGTCCGAACTTTACTACCTGCGAAGAATTTCGTCAAATGGATGCCGTGTCAATTTTATTTTTGCTGGTTAAATTGTTGAAGCTACAAACATTGAACTTTACAAACATTTTACTTTTGTAAGATTTTACATCGTGTATCTAAATACATGTGTACAAGTCACGATTGTATTGATAATTGGAGGCGTTTGATAACATGATTTACTATATCGACCATAAACTGTTACTTTATAAATACACTCATTGGAAATATGGAGCAAATTGTCTACCTTCATTTACCTTGCTCTTAAATTATTATCATTATAATTTATATGGTTATAATGAAACACTTGTTTTTAATTTCACCAGAACTGTTTGTCTAAACAGATTCAATGATACCAGAAGATACTGATACAGAAGAAATAAAAGATAACCCGAAATTTGCGCCTGATACGCTTTTGAAGCAACCATAAAAAAAGCCTACAACTTAAACCAAAATAAGTTTCTTATAGGAAAGAAACATTTAAACTGTACATAACTGAAAAATTCATATAGGAGTTGTAAAACCTATGATCTATCAATATTTCTGTAAAAGTCGCTGCAATTAGCCCAATGGCTCCATTAAAGAGCAAAGCAGTTTAGGACATAAAACTCCATGTCATATTATGATTTATATTATAATGTTTTTTATTGTCCTTCACTGATAAAATCTAGGACATAGACAATGTTTTATGAATGGAAAAGAGCATCAAATTGCCCAAATATTTGTTAAGGGTTTCTATATCGTGTCTTTTAACTAAAGACAACGTTGTTTTTAAATAACCTTATATGTTGATTTCAAATTTCATTGAATTTTAGAATTATTTTCATACAATTGGCAGTCTATAGGGTACAGTTATTGTTGATATGGTGTAACGAAAGTCGACTCGATTCAGTTTAGGTCGAAGTTGTGTAATAAAAAGTTTAAGTAAACGAATAAGAGTGACAAAGAGCCCTTGGAATTCCATAAGAAAAGATACTGCACTTGACTAATGGTTAACTTATATCTTATGATATAGTCTTGAACGGAACGAGAACAGATCTTCATCGTCAATCGAAAATGATAGATAGATATTGTCGTGAAGGTTAGGATAAATGCAACGAACAATCTTGTCCACTACAGCAAAATCAATTGCTCACCTTGTATTGCAAAAATGCTGATCGAATAACTAAAATTTGGTTATTTGGTTTATCATGCGCATTGTAGTTCTGGTATGATTTATCATGTGCATTGTAGTTCTGGTATGATTTATCATGTGCATTGTAGTTCTGGTATGATTTATCATGTGCATTGTAGTTCTGGTATGATTTATCATGTGCATTGTAGTTCTGGTATGATTTATCATGTGCATTGTAGTTCTGGTATGATTTATCATGTGCATTGTAGTTCTGGTATGATTTATCATGTGCATTGTAGTTCTGGTATGATTTATCGTGTGATACACACATTAAACATATAGCATGAAGAATGTAGTAGGATTGAAGTTTCAGACGAAATTTAATCTGTGGTATATGTTAATAATCAGAACAATAAATCCAAAGATTAACGCATTAATTCCGCTATAAATACAGTGAATTAAAGCCGACGTTAGATGGTATGTGACATTTTAACAGTTTTTCTCTTACCTATAATTACTAGTAATTTTACTATCTAATTACCAGAGACATTTTATAGTCACTCTAATCTTTAAACTGCTCATTTTCTACTTTATGCTGTCGACAATCTACATCTTGTCTAATAGAAATAAACCATTTAGACAAGCCTTTTAAGTGTATCGTTTTAATTTGTTTGAAATTTTTATTTTTCATTTGCAATTGAATTGCATATTTAGCATACCAGAGAGCGTTGTTGACGAATGGTGTTTTAAGTTGCTTATACTTGATTTGAATGCCTTTTCATATCCATGTATTAATTGCATCTTTGAATGGAATATGGCGCAGTAAAACACAATCATTTGTCTAATCAATGCATATACACAATACTTGAAGTATATATATCCGATATATCCCTACGGTACATTTCATCCCACTCTTCTTTTGGTTTGTGAACCCTACATCCCTACTAAGGAATTCACATATCTAATATCCTTTTTGATACAAGCAGTGTATAGTTGTTGTGGCAATTGTGAGGCAGAGTATGCCTCTCGGTGATAAATTAAGTTCATGGTGCAAATGTGATCCTATACAGATTCTGTAGTAGTAGTTTACCACTATGTAATGTCTACCCTCAAATAAGTCAATATTAGTTTTGTATTTAGATAGTTGGTGATAATTTTACAGCATTTCATTAGATTAGGACAGAAAGTACACCATAGTGTCTGAATTTAAACCATAGCGTCGGATGAAATAATTTGATATAACATAAGAAGTCTTCTAACACTCGCCTTCTTAGTTACCATTTTAAACGGACAGAAATCATGCTACGAATCCTTGCGGATGCAAATCCTTTGGCAGCGTTATTTGAGTAATAGTGATACAGTGTCAGAATTTAAAACCTAGTCTGAAGTGTGAATTCATCAGGCTATTTTTTCACATTTTTTTTATCTTCCACCATTGAAAGATACATATCTAACTGGGAAAATCAGAAGGTCAATTTGTGATTTACGCAGCAGGATAATCTTCTTCTGTCTCTACAGTCTTACAGTACCAATTTAGTAACATCAAAAATAAGTGGACAAGCATATCAGTTACCGTGTAACCATAGAAAGCGACCCCATAGGTCCCACTTGTATTAGGACGTAGAAAACCAGCTTCCTAAAATTACAGGAAATTCTTTGATATTTGTATCTTTATGATAGATACAGATCATTCATTTAAATTACTCGCTGTTACCTTTCAACCACACTAATCTCTGTTACTAACAAGTGTAGTACTCTCGGTGAATAGGCAGGATGGTTATCTTAATAATATGTACCTATTTTCTGTGTTTGGAGCAAATGGTTAGTCGAAAATCGTTTTCTGACCACAACCTATCTCGATGATAGATAAGCTAATCAACTACCAACGAGAAGGTGTATGTATATCTAGTACCAGGTGGAAGAAATGATTGTTAGTAAAGATTAGTAATTATTGTAGACAAATAACAAGTATCTATTGGCACAACTGTTATCCTATACATCACTCGGGAAGACTAGTAACAAATACATTCTGACTTGATAACAGATTCATTTTCAATAATTAAATACTACTTTCTTTGCTTGAGGTATTTCGATTACACTTCCAATACCAATGTTGCCAATGTTTAAGTCCATCTCGGTATGAAATCTGGGATGACTGATCAGTTGACATTGGTTAATGTCTGGTCCGAAATTCTGACCATATTAAACCTGAACAATTGGACACAATAAATGGATATATAGTAACATAACGATAGTTTTCACAATTTTTATACTAGATTCAAATTTGTTAATTTTTGATGTGGATTTTACGAATCTTCTGTTATATTTTTCCATTAATTGCGACACTGAAACTTAAGTGATTATTTTGATATAATCAAAAACATTATTCCATCTATTTTTATCTAAATTATGTTGAACAGAAAGGCTTTTGCACTTAACGAGTTGAAAAAAAAACAAAGTAAGCTTTGACAATTTCATCTTGAGTGACAAGCTAACTATACGAGGGGTAATCTTTTCTTTTTCGTACAACCCTTGAACAGTCAGTGTTACTGTCATATATTGTTGCTGCCTATTTGTATATTCTGATGTTCTGATGCTAAATACCTCTGCAGTTCTTCTACATTCTCGATACCTATGTATGCTTTCTTAGGAAAGTATTTACAAACCATTCTACCTTCATAAGATTATTTTTGATTCAGTTCTACAACGTTATCCTTAAAACCTTACCAACATCTCTTCACTTACACCCTTTATGAGTTTGATGCATGTGTGTTAGACTTATATGCCCGACCAGTCAGACAATTAAGATACCTCAGCTTCCCCATCGAACGTTTTCGCCTGCCCAAAACTACACAAAAGTCCATCTTCATTCTACTTTCATCAAACTTTATTCTAGTTGGCTAGGCTAACGAAAGTTGAATTCTTACTTATTAGCAAGCTTCAGTCTATAAAATATCGACAGGTGTGGGCTAGGAGATGAGATCGTGTTTACAGAGACCCTGGGGCAGGCGTGGGGGTGGCCCTACACATCTTATCATTCATCATTTAATCCGTTTGGTAAATACAGTAGTGACTGTATTGAGATAAGGTCGATTTGAGCAGTGTCTGACTAAAACTTGGGTTTATAAGAAAATCTTATAATCTGTAAGTAGTCAACATCAGACCTTTCACTAGACAGATTATCTTGAACAACTCTTAGTTTCCTCTCGAATCGACAGAATTTGATAAAAAAAAATCAGAATGATAATATTTGGGATCAAACCCCAAGTTTCTGATAGATTTATTTTTGGCTTTCACGATGACTCAATGACTTTAATCCATTTCTTTATACAACAGCTTTGCCCTTAACCATGGATTATCGTGTCATATAAAAATGTAAACTGTGAATGCTGGAAACGGTGAGTTACAGAGCAAGTAAATCAATCTTCAGCAAAACCTTGGCAAACATCGTAATCCTTGATTAAAACTATCAACAGAACTCTCTGTCATTTTCCATTCTCGAACTGACTGATAAAAACTTGTAATTCTTTGGTCTGATTCAGATTTGTTTATTGACAGATTAGCCCTCAATCTTGAAGTTGTAATTCATCACACACTAATTTTGGAATTCTATTAAAGTTTAGACGTCAAGCCATATGTAATTGGCTTAAACCCAATAATCAAATAAGATCCTGGACTAAGTTGGGTTATCCTAAAGTAAATAAAATGTTTGATTAAAAGATAGAAACTGAACAATTTGTAACTGTGATTATCCAAAGTCTATCTTAAGATTGGAATTCCGATCATTTTCAACAAATAATAATTAATTTCAGATTACTTAGACAACAAAATTTGATATCCATCATGTCCATTACAATCTCATCTGGATATCAGATTGTTTGTTGCATGCCCTGCATGGCTTTGGTGGTAAATCGAAGTATAATGTCAACTGAATCTGGATACAGCATTGCAATAACTCCTCTAGCGTTCTTTGATGGCTTGTGGTTGTTCGATAACTCAAATTAACTATATTTGAATATAATGTTGTGTACTCAACATTACGCTGTTCGCTTATCATGTAAGTGTTCATCTAAACACAAGGTGATTCAAAAACAACAAAATAACCTAATAAATATTAGTTTTTTAGTCAAGTCAAAACATTGCATAGACTGTGTATGACTGTATATGTTTAATTATGAAGGATTCAGGCATTAAGGCCCTGGACCTGTATTCTTGAAACGTTCTAAAAGCAATGATAAGTTAAGTTAAGACCTTAGGACGTCACAGTACTAAGATCGTTTCGAGAATACTGGACCTGGTCATTATTGTTAACGAAACTCGTGGCTTGAACTAAAATCACTTTCAAGATAAGGATAATAGACCACTGGTCTTCACCTCACACCTGACCACTACATACTGGCTACTAGCTAAGTGGATTTTTATCATATACTAGTAAATAAAATGACGTTTTCTCTAATACTTTATGAACTAACTGTATTCTAGATGACAGACTTAAGTTAAAATACCGAGTAAAGTGGGCAGATGGAGGTATGACTGTCCCATTTTTATCCATCTTGGCTTAACAATACATGCACAATGATATGAATTTAGCCCAAAGATTTCAGTTGTATTTTCTTAAATAAATTTATTAGAAGTTTATAAAAGTTTAAGGGCGCAAATCTGATCTAAAAAATAGAAAGACGGACTTGACATATGTAAGCATTCTCGGTTCGATTCAGTGTTAGTTAGACACATCTCGTTCCTTGGGATACTTCTGGTTCTGGTATATAAATGATCTGTAAACGCTTTGCACTTTCAGAATGCTGTCTGTCTGATCGAATTGAAAACTATTCAAAAATATCTGTATTTCATTTAGTATAAAGTATGAATTCATTACACCCCAAGTGAACCAAGTGTGAAAGTATAATTCATGTTATTATGTAACCGTTCAGATTATATTAAATAATACTTTCATAATTCATGTCACTGTCACAGTCCGTGTTAGGATTAAAATTTTAAGGCGAGAAAATAGCCAACTCAGTGAACTTGTAGTAGGTTCACAATAAATCGTCTTAGTGTCAGTGTTGAGAAGTGAGGATCAGACAACAATTGTTTGACTTACTTCGCTAATCTCTTCTAATCTACTGTTGATGGGCAAAATTTATGTGTTTTTTTTAACATGGTATATTGCTTAAATTATTATGTCATATTGCATGTATATCGCTGGATTACACTTATTGATTTGATATTTTGATTTATTCTAGTTTTCGCACAATTGTTATATCTCGATATAGTAAAGACATTTTTCTTAATTTATTTTTTCATTTTAAGTTTGATTGAAAATGCCAGAGATTTTCTGCATGCATGCATTTCACATTTGAATGGCGTTATTGTTTAACTTCCAAAAATGCAAACGTGGCTAACACAATCTTGTAAAATTTTCTGTATTAGGTTCGGCACCACATGACATCCATACCCATTTATCAAGGATCTGTATCATGCTCGTTATGAATCACTTGTTCTTGAGGCTTCACGTCTGACGAATTGACCATACATCAACCTATATTTATTCAAGACGGGGGTATACTTAGCTATGACACTGTAGTATCATTGACTACATCCCTTTTCACACTAGAAACCTTATACTTTCAATAACCCCTTACTGATACCTATTCATATTTTATATTGTTTAATAACAAGCTATGTAAAACTTGATTGTCACATGAAATCAACCCCTAGTTTACAAATTACCACGCGATGTTGACGGCCTTTCTTGTGTGATAGACACATCTTCATCTGAGTCGAGTCTGAAAAGCTTGTCCTGATGATCTCTGTTGAGTAAGGTAAATGCTCACCACGAGGCGTTAAAAAACTGTAAGAAATGTGCTACACTCATAAACTGGTTAAATAGATTAATTGTCACCGTCTTGTGGTTACCGATGCGACATCTGGAATCTGCAACAAAATCTACAGACTGTACTACAAACTGTACAAAATGACTACAATCGGTACATTCAGTTCACCTTGGCTAAATCTATTAATCGTAATAGGTGATGATATCAATGCACATGTCATTTGTATCTTGAAGACCACTTCACTGCTCGATGACCTTTGAAGGTCTGAATGGGTGTCCAATTGTGTAAATGTGCGCTTAATGGCCTAAATATAATTTCAGGATTAGGATGAAATTAAGCACGAACAATTTTCACGGTTTAAGGCAATTAAACTCATTGTAACCTTGATATACGCCCTATCCGATTATATCTCCATAAGTCCATATCATGTATTAAAATTGCTAAAAGGTAGGGTACAGGTGACGAACCCTGCCTTATCCCAATACTGAATCGAAGATAAGTTGTCAAATTTGACTAAATGATTTCACCAATTCGGATTGAATGCTTCTCAGATTAACAATTTACATGCATCTGCAGTCGGATATGCAAAGACGAGGGTCGGATCGTAAAATAACTATTGATGCTTAGAAATTCTAGATAGATGCATAGATTTACTTTTTGAAATCAGTCACAACACAGATTGATCGTGTGATATTTGATTGACGTAGTTATTTACCGTATTATAACCCTATTAGAAGTTATCAATCAAATATAATTATTGTATGTTTTTTGTATAGATTATAAGTAATAAGTAATATAACTAACAAACAAGCTAGTGGTGGGAAATCTATCAAACCTGTTCTAAGCGGCAACTTAATTCACTTATAAGATGGCTGCATCTGCATCTACATTTCGTAAACTGAAACCATTGTCCTGATGTAACTGAAGGTTTTCCAATCTTTCCCCGTCAAAATTTGGCTTTATTCGTAGACTATACACTACTTAATCGTGCGATAATGTAGACTACGTTTTCTTTATCCATCACATCTCTGTGGTTCCACGATATTGCATTGCGTATGATTTTTGTAAAAACTTATTTTACTTCGTTTTGTAAAGTAAAAATTGAAATTTAAAGGTATCAGGTTCCGAGACGTGACATATTGACGATGTTTCTAGAAAAGTTGAACACTTGAGAAAATTGAGTACAGCCTGCACCCAAATAGCAGCCAACATAAACAAGCGTTTCCAAGTTTAACAATTAATTAACATAACTAACCAGAAGAAATATGCTAGAAAATGTATCAATTACACCCAAAACAAGCACATTATCTTACAACCAAACGAAACAAAAAAACTTTCTCTCAAAATGAAGTTCGTAATTTCCTCAATTTGTGTTTAAGTTTTGAGTGATGAAGGGTTTGTGAAATGTTATCTAAAAATTAAGTCAAGTTTTGAAACTGATCTCTAGTTGTGGAAAAATAAATTGCTGATTAATAACAGTCATAATGCAAAATGAGAAATCATATTCAAACACAAAAATAAACAGTGAGCTATGAAATTGAATTGCAATATTTTATCAAGAATTGAGATTGGAGCGTACGTAGAACTTGTACTTTCTTGAGCCCTGTTTAATATTGTGGCATCAGATTTCTAAAGATGATACAAATATATTATTTTTTATTGTGCATTACTGTCTATTTACAGGTACTTGGGTGTATCGAGTTCTTATCAGTCACTAGTCGAAGAAATCAAACATCTACCGGGCAGAAAAAGATGTTCAAATTTAGCATTTTTAGCACCACGACAGCAAGAGTTATGTGGCTTAGAAGAAAAAATAATCGATGTCATTCATGACGGCGCTTCAATGGGAATAGACGAATGTCAACACCAGTTTCGAGATAGAAGATGGAACTGCACAACTTTTAACACCACTAACGTATTTGGCCAAATTTTAAAAATAAGTAAGTAATTTTTCTAAATATTACAAAGTTCATTCGAAAATCATCCTGTTGATTAGTTTGTTGAAATGTATTTATGGTAAATTCGACATAGTATATACATTTGAGCGTATTTAGCCAATTAGTGTCACCCACATAATGAATTTCACCATTATTTTATATTATATTCTTACAGTACATTATATACAGAAAACATATTTCTGTATTTATACGTATAGTATACAATAATAGTACGAATAAAGTGATATAAGATACATATTTGGCATAAGGAATATGGGCTTGACATTTTAAGGCAAAAATCATGTATATTGAGAAAAGAAAGGGACCATCAGATAGCATGGCTAATGGGAACAGTGTGACAACCTTATTGGGAGTAACCATGCAATCTGTGAAGCAGTCTGCTTAGAAAAAACGACCGAACGATTTTGTACTAAGGAAAAGACGAATGGTTATCTTGATTACGGGAACCAAATTCCATTAAAGGGGCAGGAAGGCCATTATTTTTGGCTAATCATACCTTAGTCTCAGAAACGGGAATCTTTTAGCTAAATCAATCAATAATAGTGTTTACAGCACACCGTCGAAATTTGGGCCTTCAAATTCATGTGTGTCCAGAATTATCCGCGTTTGAATGTTAAAATGACGACTCGTCATTCTAAGATACTCTGTGATCTATAGAAAAGACATATATAGAAATAGTAATTCCTAGTTTTAAGTATTTTAAAGGAATAATACGATTTTCGTACATTTCTAGTACTTCTTAAGACTATTTACACATATTCAAGACCCCAAAATGGCGCACCTAACTCTTCAAATTTAAAGTGAGAGGATACACGGCCTTGTTAACGGGTTTGTTTGTTAACGGCCTAGTCGAGTGGATGTTTCTAAGGCATAGATAGATATTCTAAGCTATCATACAGAGGAAAATATATTAACAGATTCGTTAAATGATTTTATAGGAACAGACGGCAGAAAAGCTGAAAGTATATCAATCACCCGTGTATTGGACCACCTTGTATCTTACATCAGTAACATATTGTTAACACGATGTTCTCAGATATTCAATAGTTGAGTCTAGATTGTAAAACTTTGGCAAACATTTTATAATTAACTTGTTTTTTGTAAGATATAAAGGGGAATATTTTCTGGTGATTAAACTTTCACACACCTTGTGTTGTAACGTAACGATTAAACTCAATGAGATGAAAGTTTATTTCGTCTAAAGAATCGAAAAGGTGTAAAATATATAACTAATATTTCTTTACAATTTCCGCTTCTATTGAAGTCTTTAAAACTTCCCTTAATTACTTTTACTATAATTGGATTTTAAAAGAAGAATTTAACTAAGCTAACATTCTCTTTTTCTGACTGTAATATGAAAATTCTTTCGAGTTACCAATGTAAACATGCGATAAGCCTTTGAAATTTATTAATAATAATTGAAATTCTTTTTGAACCATGGCCCGAAGGCTGCCACCTACTGTTAAAGGTTTTCAATATTAAAATTTGTCTGTGTGCTTTGAAAGTCATTGATGCCTTAGCTTGGGTCATCTTGACCTTTTCTTGCTGATAAAATAAACTCACATAAGACTTTGATTCACCTCTGGGGGTTTTAGGACAAGTAAGTTGAAATGTGGTCTGGTTCAGAGCCGAAATAAGACATCTTTTTGATTCAAACCGCAGCTTCTAATTGACTACCTAACTACAAACTCATATTGCCACCGCCTGAGCTTTTCCTTTTCGTTTCACCACATCTCGCGATCGACCCTTGAAAGCATACATGTATTAGCTCAAAAGTCGTTGCAATTTCTCCTTGTAGATTTACGCTAATTAATTTATCGGTTTTTAACATCGTTAGTTAATGCTGACCAGACGACAATTCATCAGGAGCTAACAAACCAAACGATGACAGTATAAATAGCAGAAAATATTGGCTATTGTCAGACGATTTGGAAAATATAGTGTCTTCTAGAAATCACTGAGTCGAAATTCCAAACTTGTCTTTTTAGGAAGCTTTGACAGTGTGTTGGTTTTTAATGAAAATAAATGATTTTTCACCCTTTTATTAGTGCTTTTAATGGCTAATCTATTTCAGTTTGGAAATGACCATGTTTTGTTCTTTATTGCAGATACTGCTTTTCTTATGGTGTTCAACTAACACTTCCGCTTAAAACTGATAAAAACAGCCTAATCTAACCACACTCATGCCAAGTGTTTTCTAACATACAGACAAGCCTATTTCTTGGACTATTTTAGAAATATTTATAGTGATATGAATTAAAGATGGCGTGTCAACAAGACACAACGTTTTCTTAAAGACCACGTTTCAATAAACCATCGCATCTCATGAATATCTATTAGATTTAGACTTGACTAAAGGCTATTATATCTTATACAGATGCGCAGTTTACAAATAGACACTAGGCTCTTTCATCTGGTATAATTAACTTATCTTTCTGAACAAACCGTTTAACATGAATGTTTTCACAGTAAATATAATCAATTTTTGAATATTACTTTTTCTTTATACGATTCTTCTCTGTCCCTTGCGTTTGTATTTTTAATATCATTAATTTCGTTAAAGTGCTTTTGTATCAACTTACTGATGAAGTCAGACGACACAAAGGTCCTAATCCAGATTCCACACCCTTTATAACCAAAAGGTTGTGGGAATGGACAATTTGAAATTGACATTTTCTAGACTATTCGGGGGTAATATGATCATTAAAAGCAAAATGCTGTAGAAATATTCCATGACATACCATATGATGAAAATGATAATATGATGATTAGTATAGATTATGCTTAACGAAATGAATAAGTCGTCTACGCGAAACTGTTCCTTCAGACAACCCACTCACTAGTGTACTGAAAGGCCTAAATAATACCTTATCATAATTCGTGTACTTAGAGAGACAATCACTGGTAAATTACAATAAGTAGCAATGGCAACAGAAAATAAGGAAGGGAAAGGACACATTTGGGTTCAATAAGGTCAATTTTCAAAACAGTCATATTTTCTAAACAAATCGAACTATTATCTAAAATTCTTCAAATCCATTCCCATACAAAGATTCGTGCCAATCTTTCTAGTATTATCTTTTTTTTTCTTTTTTTTGTTAAACTAAAGTTCACGAAGATGCTAGTGATATGATGAACTCTATTATTCAGATAGGGGAACAGTGGGTCAGGATTAAATGTAGCCAATATCGGGAGGTATGAAGGGTAATAAATAAAAGAGAACAATATGATGTTGACAAGGGCTTTACTATTAAATATTGATTAATAATCTGCTGTAGGATCTGATGTTGATTGTATCTAGAGTCCAAACAACCCAAGTTTGACAATATAAATTGAGGCCATTGTCTGAAAGTTTAGAGATGTAGGGAACGCCCGTGGAGAAGGTCAAGTTACCTGTATTTTGTCTGTCAAAATGAAATGATAAATAAACAAGGTGTCTTACCTATCTATTGTTAACAAGTCTACTATCTTCAGGCTACTGGACATGTCATTTTTAATCATTTTAGTCTGAATTACAGTCATCATATTCCATGACTACATTGTAAGGCGTATTCCTAATATATTATGGTTTTCTAGTTTTGATTATCAATCAAAAACATCCTTTGAAAAATGTTAAGCCTACTAAGGTTAATTCATCCATATTTGCATCTCAAGATTCTCAGACCACTTTATTATACGAGAAAGAAAATTTAATTGTGCTAAAACGGATAAAATTGTAATTTCAATGTTGCTGGCAATATTCAGTAAATTTGATTTGTATGGATGTTGATAACAGTGCATATTGTGATGATTTCGTAAATAACGCACATACATTGTTCTGCATGCGAATACTATGATTTGTTATATAATGTTATTTATATTTTTATTTTATAATTTCAGAGAGTCGGGAAACCGGTTATATCTATGCTATATTATCAGCTGGCATCATGTACAGCGTTACACGTGCGTGTGCAAAAGGTGACCTAGATCATTGTGGATGTGATACGAAAGTAAGACGAATCAGTACAGAAGGAGAGTTCGAATGGGGAGGATGCTCTGATAATATTCGGTATGGTTCGAAATTTTCCAAAGATTTTGTCGACTCAAAGGAAATGAGAATCAGTGAAGACGGTCTTATGAATGTTTGGAACAATGGCGCTGGCAGAAAGGTATGTTGACCATCATTTGTTCCTGAATAATTAATGAATAGCATCAAGGTCATCTCTATTGGTGAGCTGGTCTGTCGGATAGCATGGCTTCAAATCCTCCTGGAAGCAAAGGGTATTCTAATGCAACAGTCAGTTCTTTCGGGAATAAAATCGATGATTGTTTCTCTACACCATGCTTTTTGAGTTTTCAATATCCTCTTTACTAAAATATTTTAATTCCATAATTATGAATCCCAGAATTGTTGCAGCTTCGTTAAATTCCTGTATCTTTACTCATGGCTAAAAACCAGACAAACACACGAAACGATAAGATGTTTAATTGATCAAGATACCTCATCGTCGTCTAAATTAAAACTTAAATTACTTGAAGTTTTGAATGTCAAATTTGTAAAAACTGTTATTTTTATTTACAGATGGTAAAAGACGAACTCGAATTAATGTGTAAATGTCATGGGGTCTCTGGAAGCTGCTCAGTGAAAATTTGTTGGCGAAAAATGAAATCATTTCGCGCCATAGGGAGTGCATTGAAAGGTCGATTCGACGGAGCAAGTCTTGTGAAAATGGACAGACGAAGAAAGAGGTTAAAGCGTACAAATAAACTTCAAAAACGACCAACAAAGAAAGACTTGGTGTATTTAAACGAATCGCCTGATTTCTGTGAACATAATTTGGAAAATGGATCAGTGGGCACCCGGGGTAGGGAGTGTAATAAGACAAGTTATGGACTTGATGGTTGTAGGTTAATGTGTTGTGGACGAGGCTATTATACTCTTATTAAAGAAGAGAAAGACGATTGTGACTGTAAATTCTACTGGTGTTGTAGGGTCGAGTGTAAGAAATGTACAAATGTGAAAGAAATGCATTATTGTAACTGATCATTGACTCGTATTGCTGGAGTAACTGCATTATACCAAAGAAATGAATCTTCAAGACGACAATGCTAATGGGTACCAATAGTGCTTCTTGATTCAAACATTTGTGAAAAGCAATTGAGTTTTCTGCTACAGCACATTTCAAATTGATAGTCAAGTGATATGCATTTGAAAGCATGGGGTATGACTAAAACCCAAATTGTTGAGGGTATAAAATAATTGTGATACCAAAACCTACCTAAAAGACGATAGATTTTATTAGAATGTTGTTTGTTTTCTTGTTTCGTTATATTTGTGGGCAATTATGCTTTAAATATATTTAGAGTGCTTATTCAATTGTTAATAGACTACTTATATTGGAGTAGATAAATATGTGTATATTGGTCAGTTTAATGTTATATATTAGTGTGTATATTTAAAAGTTTGAACTGTGAAAGTGACACAATGTTCATAGTGAATGTGTGGAACTGTCCTGCAAGACAGTAACGAACAGTGAGTGTTACGGTGGTATATGGGTGTATTTCAGATAATGTTTATAAGTAGTGGCCTTACGCCAAATAAAAACATTTGATTCAAATGACCGGAAGCAAACTTCGGCCGCGTCTGAAAGCTCAAAGCTCTGTACATTGTACCATCAGGAAAGGGATTCAAGTGGTCAGTCAGAATGGACATTGATACTTTAATGGGATTTTATTATTTAGTTCGATTGGTCAAGCACGAACAATATCAGACTGCTTCCTCGAAATTGAAACATTTTTATTTGAATCTTGTTTTATTGGACACAATGTCTAATAAGTCTTGTCTATGAAGTTGTGTTACGGATTACACGTACATCACAGAGGTTTTATGGAAGTTAGCAAATAATTACTAAGCTGCTATGGAAAAATAGTGAATCATGGTTGCAAAATGCATTTATTAGATATTATTTATATTAAGATATGACATTACAATTTTTTATTTTGTAAATCTTTGTAAATTGTATTATAGTCAGAAGTCATAATTTCTCTCTGTTTCTGAAGTATAGCTAAGTTAAGATCCTTATCTCTTAAAAATGTAGTATTTTGGTCATCATGGAATAGATTTTAAAATTTAATGAAATTATATTAAGATTTCTCTAACACTCTTCATATGAACTTCTTTATTCTGTCCAATACATCTGTCTCTCTGATATTGTTACCAGAATAGAAAAATATTGTAGAGAAATGTACATTCCTTGTAATACTCTGTAACTGTCTTTAGGGAGGTCATTTTCCTTTTAACAGTTAACATCTTATTAATGAAAATAAACGTTGAAAATCTGAGTTTGGCTTTGATTTCTTTGGTTTGATTCATGTTGAAGGTTTTTTGTTGAACCCATTACCCATTACCCATTACAATAAGTAATAACAATTATACTCAGGCCCCTTAACCATGTTCTCAGTAACATTTCTGAAGATTGAGCACATTTTAAGGCGCCAGATGGCATAGCCTATCGAGAAAACACCACAAAGTGCATATTTTTTTTATATAAAAGAGCTGAAAGATTCAAAATTTTGTAAGGTCTTCATGGTTAAAACCTCGAATTTTTTAGAAGAATAGTCCCCGCCCAATCAGTTAAATGTGTAGAGTTGACCGAGGATTAAGGCGATAGATGGAGATTGAATGGATTTAAAGGGATTAAGTTTCAAGTATTTGAGGTAATATCGATCCTTCAACTGTTCAAATCACTGTTGTCACAAGGATTATAATATCTTAACCTTTGGTTGATAACGTTCATATCAAATGTTTAAAGGGCCAATGTTTGTATCATTTTACAGTCGAAGTTTCCTGGCCTGTAAGAAAACGTCATTGTGGGACATTGACTGATTCTACTTTTACGGATTCTTCTGTACTTCGGACACGCCCCATGGTTTCCACAAAACTTATATAACTGATATTGTTTGGGGATATTGTATGCCTTCCATTTTTGTTGTCCGAAAGAGATTCAGCGATCATCACTGATATCTGATGTTGTATACCACTTTTATAACTCCATACTATTTATTAAAAATGGACTGCCACTGTCAAAAGTCCGAGAGAGGCTTTTCTTTAAAGACAAAAAAAAACACTTCAGTCAGTCAGTCAGTAAGGTGTTGTTTCTTCGCACCAGATTTGCATGATGACTTAATACATTCCCTGGCCTTGTCTCGAAAGGAGCAAAATCATCCACGAAAACATATGGATTGTGGTCGAGATCAATGATTGTAATAAGGACGAAACGTTTCACAGCAAAGAATGCACTAATGGCGAAAACGGGACATTTATTGCTTGAAATTAAAATAGTGACAAATTGAACACAACGAAATTTTACATCATACATTACACATGAGGGCAGAGGGTAAACTTTCAGGTCTAAACAAGCTAGTAAATCAAGTCAATCAAATCAAATCAAAGAATGGTGTTTTAGCAAACCTAAAATGACACACAAGCAGATCATATAGATATCTTCAATATGGCATTCAACTTTCAATGGAAACCTAAAATACATAATGTGTTGAAATCCTCAAACATTAACTCTTAGAAATTCGAGTACAAGTTTAATAAATACGATGCACCCAAGCGCCAAGTTTTTTTCCTGAATAATTTGAGTAAATACAGAAATGTATTTAAAAGGAAAAGAATACAACTGGCACCTGGCAATGTCAGTATTGAACTGAAATATGGCATTCCAGTAATAATGAAGTTTGGCATCACCTCATACAACATCATATTTCAACACCTAACACCAGAATAGCAGAACATTATACATAATTATTATAGAGATTTTAACAAGTAACATTTGTCAACTTCAATAGATCTGAGGAATCAACAGCTTTAGCGAATATCAAAACTGAACATGAAACAATTTGTCAATTTTTTAACAGGCAGTTTAACAGTTTATCGAAAATCAAAAATTAGGAACATGAACAATTTGTCAACTTCAAGATATAGATCTCATCGTGTAACAAGTAACATCACCAAAGAATTTCAATTGGCGTAAACAAGTACCATTTGTACCTTCATGCCAACAAATTTGTATGAGGGGAGCTATATCTGTAGAACTCTGCGATATCAAACACATTTTTTGAAACTCTTGAACAAAACTAATCTTGTGCTTATCGTTTTGCTAAGCAAATTGTGATCTGTTAATCTGATTCAAACGAACTGAATGAACGCAGTTTCACTAAAACAGAAGATCATCCGTGCGTTTCACCCTCTGTGAATGGAACTAGACTTCCATGGAAATGAAGTGTAATGTACTGCACCTGAAATCAGTCCAAATCTATTTAATATATGATCAAATCATGCGGATCTAGACAGCGGTTGATGCTGGGAGACATACCGGAAACCGGAAATTAGGAAACATCATTCACCAATTAACTTAGGCCTTGTTGTGATGACCATGGTCTGCTTGGGATGAAATCCGACCAGTTTATTTTGCGTGATGTGATGAACACAGGACAATTCAAACTATTATTCTAGACCCCTACCTTAGTTTATTAGTAGTAATCTAATCTGACTTGGTACGTGCACATCACGAGATGGGGAGGGGCAATATCAATATCTGATGGTCAAATATCACCTGTCACGAGTTCTTTACTGTCAATTTTCAATTAATCACGTATTTCATTAATTAGTTTCCCTTCAATATAATTAACACTTTACGATATCATCATAACTGGTCCACGTTTTATTCGAGTAAGAATATTAATATAACAACTGGGGACACTTCTTGTTCCTTTAGCAACGGTACGATGATAATGATCATCTAGCAGTTACTCTCACAATCCAATATTCTCATCATTAATTTCTACCAATAATATAACTTCAAACAACATTTTGCGGGAAAAATGTTTGAATAACCAGACGCTAAATTTAAAGTGCCAAAATTTACTTTCTTTTAAATCTCAAAGTTCAGGTTGAGTTGTTGTCTGGGCGCCAAACAGCTTTGATAGTTTTCAGAGCAAGAATAAAAAAAATATCAACATTTTTTACGCCTCCTTGAATAATATACACATTTATTCCAAATGACCTGCGAATCAATGACTCAACAAAGCAAGTACGACTACACATTTCGTCGATACCGGGAAAAATCCCACCTGAAATTAATTTATAATGGAAGGATTGAGCGTTAGAATTTTCTGAAATATTTGATGAATATTAAGTTTCACATCAATCACTGATCGACAAGACAGTGGGTAGGTGCGAATCTGCAACAGTTTCAGATGATTCAATGAAGGCCGGCATTTTCAATCACCGTCCTTTTACTCCAAATATTACGAGATTCCTGATATATCGAATGGTGAGGTATGGTCTGCCAAGGGAGGTTATTAGTCTCTTATTTCGAGAATATGGGATGTGAATAATCATCGTTCCGTAGCTAAAGGAAAATGGAGACAGCCTTACCTTGTTCACCTGTTTAATGTTGCACAGAAGGAATTTTTCCTGGCCACCGTTAGAGACCACTGATTTTACTCCATGTTCAACTACTGAATGCCTATTAATTTAGAACTAAAAAATATAGTTTAACTGTTCAATAATTCATTATGAAAACCAAAATCAGAATATTTTTATGATGAGTTGACTAACCTAAAATTATCTTAAGAATCAAGATAGAGAAATACGTTGTATTAGGGGCAGAACTCTTGCAATAGTCAATTATTTTGTGGAGCTCGTATCTAATGCATTTTACATGTTAAATTTCTTGCAAATTTCAATTCACTGGCAATTTCTACAGGTATCACAGAATATCCACGATAATCTTGTATATTTATGATATGATACATTGCTTCAAGTAATGAAGTGCACGACTACCAGTAAGAAATAAGATTTCAGACTGTTAAAATTGACATTTGTAGACGTGTGATAATTAATGAGATAATTCAAAATATCATGAAATAAACAGATTAAACCTGCTGAAATGGAATCTTGGAATTTGTATGAAGATTTTTCTATCTTTTGGCATGTAGTCGCTATCATCATGCCAGCTATAAAACTTGTGAGAG